GAATAATTCGTTGAACATTCGAATATCTTCTATTGATTTCTTTAGAGAAAGATACATTAGAATGATTCGAAACTAGTTTATTCCTCGAACACTCGAATATCTTCTACTGATTTCTTTAGAAGAAGATGCATTGGAATAATTCGTTGAACACTCGTATATCCTCTCCTACTGATTTCCTTAGAAGATGCATTAGAATTATTCGAAACTAGTTTATTCCTCGAACACTCGAATATCTTCTTCTACTGATTTCCTTAGAAAAGGATGCATTGGAATAATCCAAAACTAGTTCATTCCTCGAACACTCGAGCATCCTCTGTACCGACAATTTACAGCCCGGCCCGCGAAACTCGTTGATTTCAGCGAAGGACTTCCCCGGACACCCCGTATATTTGACTATAATTTGTATGTACAATGCCTTGGGCCGGCGATCCAGACTCCCCGGTCCAAGCCGGTGAAAAGAAAAGAAAAAGAAAATCGCAGGCCGGTATGCTTTACAATCGCGTTGCGGTTCAAACGATGATTCGTGCTCGCGACCGTCGGTCCCGGCTGGATCGCGCGGGGAACACGTGGACGACGCGCGAGCACCGGAAACTCTCGGCCGAACGAAGGACAATCCGGTTCGTTTCGTCGTCTGTTGCCGATCCTCCTCGAGGATCTTCGTTTTCCTTCTTCTATATACTTCTTTCTTTTTTTTTCTTCTTATTTTCGTTCGTCTGTCGGTTTCTTTCTTTCGTTCGTTCTTTCTTTCTTTCTTTATTCTATTCTTTCCTGCCGCCATTGCATGGCCGACGACGGACACGCTAAACTTTAGGAAGAGTTCACGGACGTCTATTGAGTCTTTTTCGCCACACCGTTCGCGTACCCGTTCGAGTGGCCGAGGGTACCGTTGCACGTCGAGCCCTCGATCACTTCCGTTTTCGACATCGCCTTCATCTTCTCCAGCTGCCTCTCAGCGTACGCTTGCTTGCCCTGCACAGTTTCATAGACGATTAGTGTCATTATTGGCTTTTAGGGTGGAATAATGAATCAGATTTTGTTGAACATGTTTTCTACAATTGACGATTAACCCTTTCGAATGTCGACATTTCGAGATGAAATTTTCGGATTTGGAAGATTAAGTTGCAAATGATTTAGTTACTCGAACAGCAAGAGATCATCGCGTAGTTTCCTTTTTTATATTAATTAAGTGTTTCATATGTAATTCAGCGTTATCTGTTGAAGGGAATCTTCGTTTACAAAGATCTTAGAAGCATCGAATATTCGAAATGATCTTGAAAATAAGCTTCACTTGAATACTATAATGCATGCCCGAAGAAACCGAACATAATCTATCGTTGCAATTTTTATAGGAATTGCATATTAATCGTATTAAATGCTAGTGTTAATATGCGATACAATCGATCACGTACCTTCGCGATGTACGCTTTCGCGTAGAAGTTCCCGAACAGCACGATGAACGAGATCATGTAGATGACAAGCGCGTACTGCATCCAGAGCGGGAAGTCGCAACCTGATCGGATCCCGTTGATCCCGAGGATCAACGCGGTGGTGAACTGTATCAGCTGGAGGATCGTCAAGTACTTCTTCCACCAGAGATATTTGGCGACGGTCGGGCCGAGCGCGGCCAGCCCGTAATACGAGTACATGAGGACGTGGATGAAGCTGTTCACCATCGCTGGCAGGAAGGCTGAAGAAAGAAAGGAAACAATAGGCCTTAACCCTTTGCACTCCAGACAAGTTTGTAATCTATCAGCAACTGCAACTAATTTTTATAGCATCTCTAGAGAAAATGAGAAATGCTGTAACATTCCTTCGATCTTTTATTTTCCTTCTTAGTAAAAAATTTGGGTAGACTCTGATTCATTAAAATATTCGATATTATAACTGGCGCAATATTGGAGCTTACAGAGTTCGAGGACGATCCTCGAAACAATTCAATGAAACAGGATTCGTAGCTGATATTTTATACAAATTCTAGATTGTACCAAAAGTCTGAATTCTATAAAAATTCCATTGTTCTATAAAAATTCTACTCCCGAAAATTCGAAGTTTGAATTCCCCTGAAAACCCACAGTCGACTGTCAGCGTCCCGCACAATGAAATCGAAGGGTATGCTTACTAGATCCACTTGGTACCCATTTGATACCGATCCACCACAGCGAGAACATGGTGGAGTGGTGGTAGACGTGAAGGAAGCTCAGTTGATTGTCCTTCTTCCGCAGGATGAAGAAGAACGTATCACAGAACTCGAGGAGTTTGCTGAAGTAGTACCACCAAACTGCATGAGCGATCTGCGAACAGGATTAATTTATTCAACAGCGAATTCCACAATACTTATAGTACTACATTCCAAAACAATTATCTCTACACAATACAAAGTGCAGAGATCTAATAAAATCAACGTGAAGAATCAAGTAATCGAGTACCTCCAATAAAATTAGGAAAAAAATGGAATTCACATGTGAACTGTGAACTATAAAAAATATTTTAAGACGTTTCACCCACCTGTAACTCGTCTGGACGCGTCACATGTCTGATCGGCTGGCAGACGTAGCTGTAATGTAACCTGGTGGACGCGACGAACAACTGAAAAGGTGAAAGATCTCCCATAGAAATCCCTCCAACGGCAACTCCGAGGTGCACAATTCAAATTGAATACATCGAAACCGCGAACCTTTCCACTACGCGCGTTCCTACCACAGAAACCGGATCAACGATATTATTCCAGCCACCGCGACCAGAGTTTCGACGCCTTCCATGAGACATCTCGCGACGACAAAGATGGAATGATAATCGAACGATCCGCGGCATTTTTTATTCGCCTGCATGTTCGCCATTTCGAATTTATTCCCACCGGGCGGAATCGGAGCAGCGACGACGGTTCCCCGCTTCAATGGCGTACGCGCGAGTCGCACTGCGTCCGCGGTAGGTACTCGGGCAACGAACGAAACGTTGTCGAGGCGAGCGGCTTCGTCATCGACGATAACACACCGTCAACGTAACTGGAACGCGATCTGATGTGAAAGTTCGCGGCCGCGATACGCTCGCTCGAGGCGAGAAAAATAATGCAAAACGATAATAAACGCGCGAGAAACATTACGCAGTGCTTTAAATTGTCGCATAATCTTATCTCGATGCACGAAACGTCGCGGAGCGTGGGTCGAACGGAGAGGAATGCTGATAGCGTCCGCGATATCGGTCGCGTGAATGGGTGATATGGAAATCGGGGACGCGACACGCGGAACATTCGGGTGAACATGTTGTTTAGGCGAACGGTGTTTACCTGAATGGCGATGTACGCGTTCAGACAGGCCATCGCGAGATTATAGGGCACCAGGGCCCAGGTCAGCTTGAAGGCCTTCCGATTTCTCATGATCTTTGGCCCGGCCCACACGATCAGCAGATACAGCATCGTGTAGATCAAAGTAGGCTTCGGCGAGTCGACCAGGAGCCATCCTCTCGTTCGCTCGTCTGATAAACCGTGCGATTAGAATGGGAGATCGGGGAGTCGGAGGTAATTGTCGAAGTTGATCTTGTTAGTTTGGAATTATTTCGGTGGACGATTAACACTAAAACTAGCAGTTCAACTTTTTCTATAGAAACTCCAAGAGCATCTGTTGAGACTTTGATTTACAATTCAGTTTGCGTAGTGCTGAATTTAATAATTTCGCAGAGAAACATCTGTTACTTTTCTAATAATTGCAAAAAGATCAGGCATGGGTCATTCGACCTGGTAGTTTTAGTGTTAATAGTTGATAATGATTGGTACTAAGAAATTTAATTTGATAGTAATATGATAGATTGAATTGATGTAACACTAGTTGTATTAATGTACAATTATATTATGAAAAATGAAGAGCAACGGGAAAATAGATTTTCATTATTTTTGAAACATATTCCTCGAACTGTACGATAAGAAATTGCAAGAACTGCAAAGCGAGCGGTAGTAAAAGGAAAGCTGTAAAAATGATCGCAAAGTATTCAAGGTTCATCGGGGATTTCATGTACAGTTCGAAATATAATTTTCATATTAATTTGTTATAGGAGCCTCCTGTGTCGGAGGATTTTTGTAAAATGTCAATTCGCTGTCTTACCGGCAAGGGATAGGGTCCAGAGGTAGTAGTCGTAAGCATCGTTTATCAAAGTCGCCGTGGAATTGAGTATGTTCGCCATTGCCTGAAACAAACACATAAGATTCTGTTTAATTGCCTCGGGGAAGGATGATCCGCGTCGAATGATTCGGCTCGATATGGAACCGCGAACGCTCACCGGGTCGAGGAAATGTAACGTTGAACTGTTGACCGGTTCCGCGACAGTGAATACGAGCTTGAACGCTTTTCCCCTTATCTACCCAGGTCGCGTGACACCTTGACCGTTTTTACTTGCCAAGCAGTTTGAAATACGTAGAACGTTTCACAACCGAGCGAGGAACGCGGATATATTGCTTTCGTATGGTCCCTTTTATCTGCTGCTTATTCATATTAATACGACTGTTACTTTCCAGTTTATTTCCGAATGGTACGCACGGTTAACGAGTGAAGTTAAATTTTATTATACCCCTAACAAGGGAACCTCCGATATTTCCTTGTTCTACTAGCTACAACTGTCAACATTCGTAGAAATTCTTAATCAACAGAGAATTCAACGGAATCAGTTATCCAACCTTTCCATGCATTTGAAATTTAAACATTTTCTTCAGAATTAAGTATTTCAGTTAGTACAGTGCATATATATCGCATAAAATGTTACCAAAAGTTAATATCTTATCCGTAATAATAATTCTTTGAGCTGATGGCAGGCTGGGGTTAACCGCGCAGCTGCCATCTTGTCGGCGCGCGGCGATCAGCCGAATCTACGAAACGTCGCTTCGTTTCATTCGCGAATGTTACTGCAAACAAGAATCTATATTAAACATTTGTATAAACTATATATTCTCCTCTGTATTATGTTGTAATTAATCAAGATCGATGAAACAATGCGACTTATAATTAATCAAGATCGATGAAATAATGCGACTTCGTGAAACGTATTTCTCTTACTACTGAAATCAGATCACTTCACCTTTCGAAACCTTTTAAATTGAAATTCGAATTTCGAGAATCTTCGTCTCAAGAATAGACAGTCGAAAATTCGAAAGCAATCGCGGAAGAAAGGCAGAACGGGCTTTCTTCGCGGTGGCGCGGGCCGCTGTCATTAGCCGCGCAGTTTAATCGCCGGGCTCTGTACCGTTATCCGGTCGTTCGTTAAAAGATGGAAACGTCATATGTAACTTTCACGTTACCGGAGTAGCTTGACGCGCTATCTCCTCGCCGTTCGCGGGCGAAACGTGTTCCGTTCGTGCGGATCTTTCGCGCGGCTCGGATTTCAAGCCTCCCTCCTCCCGGAATGTGCAACTTTCATTCGCGGTCTGGCCTCGCCGGATGATCTCCCGGTGCAAGTGCAAGTTCACGTTCCCCTCCGCCCCAAGTGCAAGCTGATCGTGCAGCGACGCGGCTGCCCGAGGACTATCACCGGAAACTTCCTTTTTCTTCGGCAAGTCCGGGTCAGATGGGGCCTCGAGATATTCCCCATGGCGCGATCGAACTTTTGAGAGGCCGATTTGTCAGCAGAAATGTGATCTCGCTTCGTGTCTTTTGATGCCTCGAAGTTTGATCGTTCCGAAGATTCACAGATCTTCAATGCCTTTGCGCTGTTCGATACTCAACAAGCGATTCTCGCGGATAATCGCTAAATAAGTGGAATCTGGAATAACTCAGCGAGCTCGTTATGAGGCGCTTGCCGGTTTCTTTCGAAAGCTGACGATTCGAAATAAGAAACTTTCTCGCGCTCAGCGTATGGGAATCTAGAACTGCGGATCATTACAAAGAGAAACAGTCTATTTCGCATTCAGAGAAAACACGTTTTGGGACTCCCCGTTTTCCGAAAATAGAGAACTGGTAGAAGTAATGATACTGCAAGGGTGGAGGGAATTAATTCTAATTAACACACCTCGACTGCCACGTCACCCGAATGTCAACTTTCTTAGTAACGTAACGAACCTAGTTTTTCCGGATACATGAGTCGACTTTGTTTCTGCTTTGTTAAGGCAACCGTTCAGAGTGCACAGAGGTTTCAATGAGCTTACTCTGTTACAGGTTTGAAGTTTTCGTTTCGCAGATCGATGGAAAAACGACGACGCAGAGTTGTCCGCTATTCAAATTAAAGGGGGCAGAGCCTGGCGTTGGCTACCTAATTCCGGCTGCTTCATGCAAATGTTATGTTAATGTTCGGCGTGGCGAGTCCGAAGGACACTGATAATGAACCTTCCGGTAGTAATACGATCGTGAATCGTAGTAAAAACGGCACGTGTCGCGCCGGGTGACGCGAATATTTTAAACTCCCGTTAACTCGAGACGCTGACCGCGCGATTCCGTGTAGCGACGCCCGATTGATTTTCCTGGGTGTGACCGCCGCGATTTCGCATGTATTCGATTAAAATGAATACCCACGGAACCTGTTTCCCCGGGTGAAATCGAACCTCGCCGCGCACGGGGTGTATTTCTTCCGATTCCATCGGAACGGGGATCGACGTTGGCTCTACCATCGTTAGACTGTGAATTTTCACTCGAATCATGGTAAAATATGAACTTTGATTCTTCGTATTCTCAATATCTCATTAATCCTCGCTTTAAATTTGTTAAAGGACGCCAATCACATCGATGAACAAGCAAATTTTATTATTTCAACGTTGAACGAACCGTAATTTCTCTAAATGACGTCTACTATCACTAAATAAGAAAATGAACTTTGATACTTGGGATTCTCAATATCTCATTAATTCTCGCGTGTACTTTATTAGACGCCAATTACATCGATGAACAAGCAAATTTTATTGTTTCAACGTTGGTCATCAACGAACAGTAATTTCCCAAATTACCTCTGATATCACTAAATAAGAAATTGAACTTTGATACTTCATATTTTCAATATCTCAATGATTTTCACTTTTAATTTATTAAAGGACGCCAATCACATCGATGAACAAGCAAATTTTATCATTTCAACAAGTAAACATTAATTCTGAAAATTCTCTATAGAAACTCCAAGGGTCCATTAACACTAATCGATTTAAAATTCAGTTTTCGTATTGCTGAATCAGTTTCTTCGGTAATTTCCAGGGATCTGCGTTCTTAATAATCTTGAAGCCACCGATTGATCGCGAAGATCTGTTAATTACCGGTGCATTCATGAATCGGCGATGCGGGGAGGAAGGCGAGGCGAAACGGTACCGATTTTCACGCGTCTCGTCACGCGACTGATTTCCACGGTGAAAGTCCGATAAATCAATTCATAATCTCCGCGGAGCTCCGGGTGAAATCAACGTCGGATCAAGCCTCTTTTTCCCGTTTGTCCCGGTCGGAGCGTTGCACCACGGTTCCCCGATGGAACGGCCTACGTGGCCGCCGATGATCACGATTCACGCGAAAAATCGCGAGCCGCCGACTTTCTTTTCCGCCAACGTTTTCCGTTCCGCGAATTTTCAGCAACGATCACCGGCGGGGCCGGGCGGAAGAGGCGAAGAATGTTGCCAGGATCATTGGTAATTAATAATGTCAACGTGAAAGCACCTGCTATCGCGAAATTAGAAAGCGACGGGTAGCTTCGCGGCTGATCCTCTTCGAGGGGCAACACGCCGGCTTCTTTTTGCACGGCACTTTCATATTCAACGTTATTTCTTTTCCTTTCGTGGCCAATTAATCTTTTACACCTCGGTACTTTGTAAACCGTGCGCTTTTTATCGATTTCTACTACTACCCATGGAAATTCGACGCGTTCTGGTTGAATTCGTTTGGGATTCGCTTTGGACGTTTTCCCAATATCTTAGAATTATCTATATGCTTCTCGAAGGTAGGATAAAATTCGAGGTAAAATATTCTAAACATTCGAAGTTGCACGGTTTATCTGTAAACAAAATTTATTTTGAAACCAATTCAATCTACTGTTTTATGCTTTAACCTGTGATATTGACGATCCGCCATTTTGTCGGCCGCTAATACCCAGTTGGGCGCATCTTTCGTTAGTGTCGAATGTATTAGCGATCTAATCTAATATTCTCTTGTTCCTTCGTGCCTGTTGTTTAGTATCGTTCGAAAGTCACGTGGAGAAATATTTCAACGTGTTATCGAGGTAGTTAAAAATTGTTTCATCGCCGGGGAAGGTTACGAGCGAGTTAACGACGTTCTAACTGCTGTTAACCGTAACGATTATTCAATGATTACTCGTACGCGTTGAAATGCATTCGCGCGGAATCGTTCGGTAAATCGACAACAGGGTACCGTTTTCATTAAGGCGTCCACTTTAACTGACTGAAAGGCGATAAAATCGTTCGAGCGTCTCGGCCGTCCATTGTCGCCGCACGGGGAATGAAGTATTCGATATGAACGCCTCCAGAGAACGCTAATTGCGAGGATTCTCCGGCTGCGAATGCTCAGCCTCTCGATTCACCGTTTCTTAAGGACCGTAGGTAAATCAGCGACGAAACGACGGAAGGCTGACGCGAACGGCTTTTTCAAGCTGGAAGAGAGACGTCCGCGCGAGAGTATATTGGCTGAGGGAAGCCGTTGAATTACAGAACTGGTAAGTAGACTGTGAATTTTTGCGCTTTGCAGCGTCCGAGGATTCATGGGAACAGATGAAACTAACACTCCTTTCATTCGGGAGCGGATGGGAGGTCGCTGATCCACGAGCGACTTTTCTGAGAATTTCCCGCGTGAGAACCCCTGCGTTCTCCTCATTTTCTAAGGTCTGATAATTACTGACGATCGGATTTGTCTAAGAGACTAGTCCTCGATTGGGGAATCAGTGAGGATTAGAACTCGAGTGAAAATGGCAAATTGGAAATTTGACTCTCGATACTCAGTAAAACCACGAGGTTTCCTAGACAACAGTTCGATAGATTAATCATCAATGCCCCGTAATTCCCAAATTCCAAAGAACCTTCCAACCTTTTAACTCTTCTATTAGAATCCCTATTCCAACCATCTGCAACAAACCATCCACAAGACAGTCCTAACACCGTCGCAACCGTCATCCAACAAACATCATTAGAGAAGCAAAAGTCAGCCTATCGAAGCCATACGTACCAACCACAGAAGAAACAAAAAGCTTACACCTTGTTTCTCATTCTATACTCCAGTTACTCTCCGATCCTCAGCCAAAGATTCTCATCCTCCAATACACTCATACTTCAACTGCTCGCATAACATCGACTACTGATCTACCATGAAAATCAGCCACAAAAGACAAACAAGCTTGCTTTACATCTTGTTCCTCATTCTATACTCCAGTTACTTTCCGATCCTCAAATAGCCAAAGATTCTCACCCTCCAATACACTCACACTTCGACTACCGATCTACCGTGAAGATCAGCCTGCAAAGGAGACCCAATTCCATCCTCGTATCTGTTCTCCCCGAGCCGACCAGCTCACCGCTCTCTTACCTGATCGGTTCAGCGTACTCCGTGATGTTCAGCCTGGCGATTATCTCTGACGCGTCGTTCTCGCGGAGGGTAAAGGTAAGAGCGAAGAGCGGGTCGCGTGCACCTGTGTCCTGAGCTCGCGGGCGTCCGGCGTGCGTCAGAGGTACATGACACCGGTGCGCTGGCAGTGATTCGCGGCGATCAAGGTGAGACCCCGGTCAGGTGACGCGCACACCAGCGGCGTGTGTGATCTCTCGAGGATCCTCCCGTGTGCAGCAGTGTGCCGTTCGGTCCAGCTGGCGCGGGGCTCACTCACTCGTCGTCGGCCGGAAAAATCGTGGGCCGCGTACGGTTCGGATCGCGATACGTCGAGGTCGATGAGCAAAGTGGCAGCGCTTCGCGCCCGCCTCGCCGGTCCGCTTTATAACTTTCGTCCGAAGGTGTGCGTCCCAGGTAAGCGGCGGACGAACGGTCGGACAAGCGAATGGCCGGACGGACGAGCGGACGGACGGACGGTTTCGGGTGGTATCCGTTTGTCGGCCTGCTCAGGTGGTGGGCAGCGCGTTGTGTGCGTTCAGGTGAGCGTTCGGGGAAACGGGGCCGAATATGAGCACGGATAGCGTACTATTAGCTGGCGCGCGTGTGTACGTGCGAGGTGGTGGGATCGATCCGTGGGGATAGATCGTCCCGAATCGGCTAGGATGGGACGATCGAAAGCTACCCTTTCCACGTTTCCTTTCTTCCTTCTTTCCTCTCACCGAAACCGACGGCGGAGCCGACCTATGGGCGACCGCCGGGAATCCCCGTCGCGAGACGCTGAGGCACCCCACCCGAAGAGTGAACCCGTGGTTCCCAATGGTGATTTCAGGTTTGAGGTAGATCGGTAGTTTGGTCGATTGGGAGTTTGGTGTTTTGTAGTGTTTGGGTTTTGATTGATGGTAGATGCATCAGGAATTGAGTATCCTTAGAACTGAGCTAAATCACTTTTATTCAGACACGCTTTAAGATATTTTCCGAATAGATTATATTATATTGTTCTCAATACTTAGTAAGAAGAATCGTTTGCACTCTAGAAACTAACTGCTTCATATGCATTTCAAATGAAATGTGATAACAGGCAGTTACCCAGAAAAATTCAACAGAAATCCAAAGTACAAAGGATTAGCCCTTTGCGGACGAAGATTCTTCAAAGTACACAGAACCTTCAGCAGATTAGGCGAAATTATATCTCGTATGCTGAAACAAAACTGTGGAAATAACAATGTGAAAGCAAAGAAAAGAATCGTTTTATTGATATTTATCATTTACATGGGATTGTAAGCTATAACACTTATTTATTCAAGAATAAAATATAAAGCGCAGGATATCAAAATTGATTTTTTTTTACCGGTTTTTTTCAAAAAAACTGTGCGTTAAGGGGTTAATGTACAATGTAGCTTCTGTTGACGGTTTTGTACATTCCAAAGAATCTTCGTCCGCGAAGGGTTAAGATCTTAGAGATACTTCGACGGGACATTTAAGGAGGCAAGGCGGAGAACCGCTGGCTGGACCGTTTGTGTAACACCGGCTACACGACGCGACGCGACCCCGATTCCTCGCGGCTGTCCGTCGCCGAGAGGGGCAGGGGTTGGAGTGGTGGGCACACGCACGCGTCACGGGGATTCTTTTCGTGGTTTTTTCTTGTTTTCGAGCGAACGGTCCGGGGAGTTCGGTATCTGGCCCACGAGACGCGCTTCGGGGATATTGGGTCAGCGGGTCGGTGGGTTGATCTTGGGTTTAATTGGACCGGGGTTGCGATCGGGGAGACGCGCGCGGGACGGTGGGGCTCGTTGCATGGCGTCGGAATGCTTCGGGTGAAGTGAACATTGCGAGATGCTGGGAATGATGTAAAGCGAAACGGCAATTATGTGGAAAGAGGCAGTGCGGATGGTGAATGATGTCTGACTTTGATCGTGGAACGAGATAACCCTTAGCATTCCAGATTGTTAATCAGCAACTGTAACTGATTTTTATAGCATTCCTAGCGAAAATGAGAAATGCCATTTCTTCGATGTTGTATTTTCCTTAGTAGAAAATTTGGATGTGTGGAACATCTGATAATTTTAGGGCAGTTTCTTTGAGATTCATTGAAATATTTAATATTATAACTGGTGCAATATTGGAATCTACAGAGTTCAAAGGGTTAACCCTTTGCACTCGAGAGGTGACTCTCAGTTACCGTTTCATTCGATATAAAAAATTACAAAGTGTCATATATAATATTAAGTTTCGTATAATGCATCAATATATGAAATATCTATATAAAATAGCTCTGTTTAATTACTTTGACAGCAAGAAACCAGCTCGTTTCCCTTTTTCCTATTAATTGAGTAATTGATAATTTAACTTAACGGACTTAACGGATTAGCTTGAAAGATACACAGATTCTTTGGTAATCGATATTTCGTTATATTGCACGTTAGAAGTGGATTTTCTTATAGATACCATAGATACTTTTAAGTGACCAAGGTAATTCAATGATTTTGGGGAGTTGTAACTAGTTACAAGCTCCACACGCATCGGAGAAAGCGTGGGACTGTTGCGTAGTCCTCTCGTCCGATCCGAGAGGCTGCGTATTCGTAGATTTTTACAGGTTCTCGAGAGTTGTCGATGATTTCTCGTTTCGACAATCAGTACTCTATTGGTTCCAGCCCGCAAGTGGGTCTCGCGAAGGAACACTTCGGTCTAATGATGCGCTTGCCTCGTTAGCTACCGGTATTCGTCTCGATAAACAGTCTTTGTGTTTGCGGTGTTTATTAACACTAGAACTACCAGATAGGTCGATTATTGGAAAAGCGCGAAGGATTTTCTGTGAACCTGTTAAATCAGTTTGTCCGGCGACACTTAAACGGTACAAGTCACGTGCAATTTCGATAAATATAACTAAAATTGTAAACGAACCAATTATTCATAGTCGATTATTCGCAAATGCCTGTGTTATTATAAATCCCTAATTTCCAAGATCTAAATGATCGAACAACAATTTTTCTAGGAACAATAGAATAAACCGGACAAACGTCCGTAAACCTAGTGTTAACTTCCGTTCGAAATACTTATGCAAATAATTTCGTTTGTTCCAACGGAACGCAAGCTGTTGGTCGTCGCAATTATGTGACAGCGAACATGTTAAATAAAAGACATTTTAATGAATTCGTTGAAGAAGCGTGGCTAAAGTTACTACGTTCAATATCCGCCAAGATGGCGTTCGATCTCGGTGCATATTCTTCGAAAAATCTAATGCACACGTTAGAATGAAAGCCGAACGCCGCTCGGTAATTGTCAATTCTACATTGCTATTGTTACTGGACTGCTCCCCGATACCGATCTCGAAATTACAAATGGATTATTCTGTTCCGGGGGACGCGTTACACGGGGCGTTCCGTCCGCGGGAATCTAATGCATCTCGCACGCCGCCATTGTTTTCAGCCGCGTGGATTGTTCCGCGCACGCCTTCATCTCCATTGAGACAATTTGTTTCGCAAGTGAACGGACAATTTCGTTTCTATCACGGCTGAGAGCAATTTCAAGATATATCGAGCCGATTCACCGTCGATAAACTTATGGAGACTGGTTTTCTAACCTCAAATTCGCCGACAAAATGGTGGCTCGCCTGTTCGTACCCTTGCTCCGTAATTATGTGACTGATCAATTAGAACAAAATCCTTTTTATTTCGTTGGAATTAGAATAAAATGAGAACAATGATCTTTATAATAGCTGCAGATCAGTATCCTTACCAAATCTCTCGAACTATTCGAACAAGCTGAAAATCATGAAACAGTTTGCATGGAATTAAATCGATTAGAATCCTTATTTTTCTCTGTTCCTGTTAAAAGAATCGATGCTCGTTTATTCAGATTGTGGAAACCGGAGATTCGATAGCAGGTAATCCGGGTACACGTCAGTGTGATCAATCAAAATCGGCGTAAACACTTAGAAAATAATATCTCTAAAATCCAGTATGCGTCGATTCGACGCGTTTTTTATCTCTTTCGTTTCCCGTATTCCCGAAATTAGAGTAAAACGAAGATAACACGCAGCACGATGTACGCACATCGTTAACGAACACTGATGACAGTGTTTAAAGCGGCGAAACAAATCAGTAACGTTAACGCCTGTCGGGCGTTCGTCGAAGGCCGACGAATAGACATAAATACGGTGTCGCGCGCCGGTACGTTTACGAGCGGCAGACGAGAAACGTAGGATAGTTATCGCGGAATGACCTAATGGAAAGCAAAACGGTACTTTAACGGAACACCGGGACAGGCACGGGAGATTCACGTCCGACAGGCTCGTCACCGAGGAAAGCTGATCTTCTCGACGATCGAGAACATGCGGCGCGACGGGTTTGGTACCGCGACCTTGACCTACATCTGAAATTCATGGGAGCACGGTGGATCTTGGGAACGCGGGATTTTCTGTGGAGACCGAAGGAAATTGATTATTGATGCATGGAATACAATATGCGAGAATTAGTGACAATTTTCTTCAGTTTCTAGAAGAGCATGTTGATATTTATCTGAAGCAGATATATTGAATAAATATTATAAGAGAAACATAATTATGTTTTATGTCTTTAGACAGAAAATTCATCGCTGCTCTCGACTCAGTTGTTTTTCTACAACTCTGTCTTAGATATTCTAACTGTAAACTTCGATGTTTCAATATTCTTTGCGTCACACTCATAGACAATAAATATTTCTGTCTAGCAAAGCCACCGCTGCGGAAGTATCAACAGATCGTCTCTCGAAGCAAACAGGATGCAAATACGGACCAAAGAGAAAGCGATGCGTGGGTACAATGTACAAAGTGGCCCCATCGGATCAGAGGCCGATTAAAACCGGTCACCGGTCCCTTAACCGTGAAAACGCGTTTCCAAATATTCGAATCGGTTTCACCGAGCGCCTTCCTCGTTCCAGTCGCCGCCGTCATCATTGCCTACTGCCGTCATCGCCTTTCACCCGCGTCGCGAGGCAAAGATTCACAATAATCATCGCTGGACTGAGAACTATCGTGCAAATTCAATGTTTCGAAAATAGAATTAGAAAACTAGAACGTGCTTCTTGATACACAGTTTATTTTATTAATTAATTATTCACCCTTTGCACTCGGTGACTGTTGATACTTGATTTGTGAAATTGTGAAATCCGATATTTAATGTTGAACTTTGTACAATGCCTTGATACGTGAAATATTGGAATCTTGTGGTTTCTGTTCGAGTTAGTCTTCGAAGACTTTAAGATTAAAGACTAGGTCGTTGAAAACTTCAAAATTAAAGACTAGGTCTTCCAAGACTTCTAGATTAAAGACTAGGTCTTCAAAGACTTCAAGATTAAAGACTAGGTTTTCGAAGACTTCAACATTGAAGACTATTTCTTCAAAACAATTAGTTTCGCCAACTATCAAACGATTTTTCATCAACGTGAGTACGTCCGAACGATTTCAAAGAGGTCTCGCTACGACGTTGGAATGCGAGGCGCGGTTTGTCGACGGTCAATGATAATTAACCGTGAAATTTATTACATTTGTGATGTGAATACCCGCCGAGCGATAACAGGATTCACGCGA